TAAAATTAATTAATTTAAAATTACATAAAATTGACCAGCGACCTAAATAACTCAATGATCATCTCTTTTCACTAAAAGTAAGAGATTCTGAATTCGAATCACATACAATGCTGGTGAGATGAGATAAAGAATGAAAGATAATTACCTCTTATTATGCAACTAAAAAAAAGAATGAAAAAAACAACCCCAAATGAATTGGATCCAGCCACCTACTTTCAGTGTAGGTTAAATTATAAAAAAAAATTAAAACAAAATAATTCTTACAATAACATTTCCCTTTTATAAAATATCTTCTCGCTTTCTAAATCTCTCTTCTTCCCCTCGCCCGTAACTCCGACACCTGTTTACATAAAAAAATAAAACTTTATTATGCATCCTACAACTTGACTCTTGTCCTGTGATAATTCACGGGTCGAACTTATGCAAAAACTTGGTTTTAACCATTCAACTTATCAAATTTAAAGGTTTTAACCTCTCATCTTATATTATAATATTTTTAACCCCTTACCTTATTAAATTTATAAGTTTTAACCCTTCACCTATTAAAATTAATGAAAATAGCCATCGCTTTATATTAACTGTTAACTTTGTTAGCTGAAAATAAGTTTTTGTCAACTAACAATCAATCAATAACTAGTTAATAAAATTAACGAAATATTATAAAATTAATTCTACTAACTCTATTAGCTGAAAGAATGTTTTTGTTAGTTAACAGTCAACTAACAGTTAAATAATAAAGTTAATAATTAGTTAACAGAACTAATAAAATATTACAAAGTGAAGTTTATTTTCTTCAATTTTAATAGATAAGAGACTAAAAATATTATAATATAAGGTGAGAGACTAAAATTTATAAATCTAATAAATTAAAAAATTAAAAATATCATAATATAAGATAAAAAATTAAAACCTTTAAATTTTAAATTTAATAAGATGTAAAGCTAAAAGTAAGATTTCACCTCGAATTTCATGGCCGTTTACTTGTGTCCCTCTACCTGCCGATTTATCACATGTCTAGATTCTTGAATCATTAACAATAAAAAATAAAAAATAAAAAGTTGTTTTGGGCCTTGAGAGAGGCTGAGTCTTTTTTTTTTTTGAGGAAAGGTAATCAGCAATTCATTAAGAAACTGCCATACAGTATCTACATCCAGACCTTATCCAAAAGGATAAGAGTAATAGACAAAGAAAAGAATAAATTGGAGAAGCAAAGCAGAGTAGACCCGATGCATAGGAGGAAGGGAGGTGAAGTCACTCGAGCAACCTGTGGTCGACTAATCTAGCCATGGGACACCCTTCAATCTACTCCGGAGAGGATGGTGCGAACTCCATGACGCCACGGCAGAGATCCAAGCCGGAGGTGGCTAGATCTGGAAAATCAACGAGCATCTACCAAGATCTATAG